TAACACTACAAAAAAATGATGTAGAATTCTTCAAACCGTTCCAAAAGGATGTGGGATTCTTCACCATTCCAAAAGGAGTACAAAAATTCCTAGGATGTGGGATTTTTAATGTACTTTTGTGTGTTACATTAAAGTGTGTTATATTTAAGTATTACGTTTAGGATTACATTGATTGGAGTGTTATATATGGAAAAAAGTACACTAAGAAGGGTTTTTTTTTTGTGTTTTTTTGTGTGCGTGTGTTACATTAGTGTATTACGTTTGGAAAGAATACACTAATGAGGTTTTTTTATTTTATTTTTTGAGTGTTACGTTGTTAGTTTAGAAAAAGTACACTAAAATGTGTTACATCAGAGTGTTAGTTATTAAAGTGTTACGTTTTTGTTCATAATGTGGGATTTGTTTCAGAAGGAAGGAAAATTTGAAATCTCTATACTACGGATTGTCTAAATGTGTAATTTCTCATTTAGAGAAACTCACTTTTATAAATGTGTATGTAACTACAATTTTGTATAATTTTCACTTTAATAAAAATTTTGGATTCATAAGAAAAAAGAAAAGATTAAACAGAACACAATCTCAAATGTTGGGATTTATTGGTACTCACCTAAGGGAGATTTTTCTGAAAATCCTATTTTTAATACTTAGGTCTCGTTTGGGAACAGGCTAATTTAGTAATTTTTTGACTATTTGGCTAAAATATGAGCTAAAAAAAATTAGTATGTTTGGGATGACTTTTTAGCTTTTTACAAAAAGATGTGCAAAAAATAGAGAGAAAATAGAATCTTTGACTTTTTGGTATGAATTGTTAGTTTTTTTTGACTTTTTTAGTAACTTTTTGACTTTTTGAGTTGGTTCTCAAACGAGGCCTTATATATCAATTAGTCCAAATTAATTTATAAAAATTGATTTAATCCTACAGCTATCCAAGACCAAAAATTTCAACTTTAGATTTAACGCACAAAATGGAAACTATATTTTAAGAGAAAATCACTCCACTTTGAATATTTGCCCCACTTAAATTAGAATCTAGATATTAAAATTTTATTCTTTTATAATTATGGAAACTAATAAATATCCTACTTTCATATTTTTTTATAATGTAAAAATTAAAAATAATGTAACGAAAACTAAAATACAATGTGAATAATATAAATATTTACAGTAAATAACAAATATACAACTATAATTCAAAAAATAAAAAACCACATACCAAAGTGTAATGTAGTTATCTATAAGGGGCATAGCTATGATTTATGCGGCTTCCATTTTCACTTCTTGACGTGGGACATAGAAAGATTTATGTGGCATTTTGGTACATGAGCACATACACGGACTATTCTGTAATGGTTACAATAAATAATAAATATATAATTAATTTTAAAAAAATTCAAATCAAAATAAAATGTGAATTTTTAATGTTTATAATTAATATACAATTACCCTTAAAAAAATTAAATTCATACGAATGTGAACATTCATACTTGAATGTGAAAACGTAAAACAATTTTTTTTTTTTAAAAAATGTGAAAATTAACTATTTTGATTGTTTAATAGTAACATAAATGATTGTTCAATTAACAAACATAATAACATAAACAGCAAACATATAACTAATCTTGGAAAAACAAAATTTATACAAAAATACAATGTGAATGTTCACAATTACAATTACGTCTCGTTTGCGAACAAACTATTTTAGTAATTTTTTAGGTTTTTTGGCTAAATATGAGGTAAAACAAATTAATATGTTTGAAATGACTTTTTGATTTTTTACGAAAAGATGTGCAAAAAATAGAGAGAAAATGAAATTTTTGATTTTTTAGTATAGGTTGTTGGCTTTTTATTTTTGGGTAAATTACAAACACGCCCCCTGAAGTTTACTTAAATTACAAATTACTCCTATGATTCTAGAAATTACATTATGCCCCCTAAGGTTTTTAATTTCATAACAAATAAGTCATTTTATTAACAAATCATCAAGTTAATTAACAGTTTTTAATAATATTAAAATTTTATTTCAATTAATAATTCAAATAATTTTATTATTGTATACGTGAATAGTTAGAAATTTCACTTTTTCAATTAATTCCGATAAATAAAAAATTCAGACGAGGAGTTATTTGTAATTTTTCAAACCACAAGGGGCAATTCGTATTTTAAGCGAATCGCATAAGGTGTATTTGTAATTTACCCATTAGCGACTTTTTGACTTTAGGCTAAAGTATTGAGTTGCCAAACGAGACCTTAATATACAATTAGTCTTAAAAAAAAAACTAAACTCACATCAATGTGAATATTTATACTGCAATGCGAAAATACAAAACAAAATTGAAAATGTAAAAATCGACTATTTTAATTGTTCAACGACAATAAAAATGACTACTCAACCAAGAAGCATAGTAATAAACAATATACAAAAAATTATTAAACAATATATAAAAGATTATCAAATAGTTTATATATATTGAAGCACTTTTCAAGAAAATTTTGTATATAATCAACTCCAATATAATGTTGGTGAATAAACTGCATAATATCGGTAATTATACAAACCAACAAACAGACTACAATTTATGTATAATAACATCAAAAAAATATTGTTCACGACTGATTTACTATTATCTTTGTTGCGAGTTCACCATTCTTTATCATTGGTTTATATGTACAATTAACCTTTTATTCTAAATGTTCATCCATGTCACGACCTTATTGTAAAATAATAGTGAAAGAAAATCTTTGATCTGGTGAATCTCATATTAAGGGAAAGAAAATATTAAGAATAATAACCTTCTATATTGATAAACAATATTATATATATATATCATAAATAAAATATATCTAATAAATAATTTTCTCTCTTAGATATATGGTATAATCATATATATATATATATATATATATATATATATATATTTTTATTATTTTTAAAAATATTTTAAAAGTAGCTTTTTTTTTCATATTTAGGTGGCACATTATAAAGGCTTATTTTTTTTTTTCTTTTTTGGTAAGAAAGCCACATCAGTATGTATTTTCTTAATTATATATAGAGTTCTATACAAACTCAAACCTAATTTAAATTATATTAACTTTACATATTTTATATGGACTCTATTTGATAAATATTTATTTATTTATTTCTTTTATATATTTTTCATCGTAAATTGAGATAATCCAGAAATCCAATACCAATTTTGCATTTCACATTTTTCTTCTTAATTCTTTCATGGGTATTAGGATTTTTTTCAATGCTAATTTTTTTTCTTCTTATTTTCCCGTGTATTATTCTATACCTAATACCAATTTTATATTATGAATTTGTCGTAAATTTTATAATAATTTTATATATGAAATATTTCATTTCCTATTTTATATAATTACTACTCACAAGAGAAAAAACATGTACAACAATGATACTTTCGAGGAACTTCTAAAGTTTGGGTTTACTGCTTCAGTTACTTTTTCCATTGTTGAACAATTAGTTCTTTTATATTTTGACATCATATTACAGATGATTAATCATTCACACATTGAGATGTATCTATCGTTTGGATGTTGTTATGTGATTATGTCTTGGTTAGTCATTGTTGAATTTCTTTTATATAGTTGATATTTTAATTTAATTAAAAATGCATATTTTACAATATTATAATTTAATATATATCATATAAAATCATTATATGTTAATCAAATTACAACATATTTATATTTATTTTTCTAATAAATTTTATATAATTTCTATCTTTACATATTTTTATTTTCCAAATGACTATAAAAGAAAATTAAATAGTTAGAATTAATTTTAATTTTATGTTACTGATTCTTCTTCAAATTTAACTATTATTTTTAATATCAAAATGAGTAGTTATTTTACTATTTTACAATTTAATATATATCATACAAAATTATTATATGATAATTACACTTTTATAATACGGTAAAACTAAAATTATCAAAATACACAAATAATTTAACTAAAATTAATGTATATAAGTATTCAAGTAATAATTTTATAAAAAGATGGCGCCAATATTGTCAAAATAAATATTTAAAATCTTACTTTAATTTTAATTTTAAATTTAAATTAAAATTATTATTTTATAACACACATTGTATAATCATATATTTAAAAAAAAAATAACATTGCACGGGTCAACTGCTAGAGTGTATGTATATATATATATATATATTATAATAAAAGTTTATAAGATAATACTTCTAATATGGAAAAAAAGAGCTATTGAAATATAAATTTAAATGTATGAGATTAGGTAAAACATAAAAATATTTTGTGGTCTTATCTAAATGAGATTTATAAATAAATTTCTTCCATTTGAACTTGGGTTGTTTTACCAAAAAAAAACTCTTAACTATGTGTAAGTTTTGTTTGGGCTTGATTTTTTTGTTTACAACGAAAAATATTTTTTCTATTCTTTAGTATTTGCTATGGTAAAAAATAAAAATCAACCAAAATTAATTTTTAAGATCAAAACAACATTATATATGTAGAAAATATTTTTCACTTTGAACAAAAAAAAAAAAAATACAAAAAAAGAAAAAGAGAAAGAAAAAGTGTGCACCTCCCACACGACTGAATCAGCCATGGGTCCAGTGCAATTTTGTTTTTTTTTAATAATATTTTAGTTAATTTTTTTTTAGATATATCTAATTTTGATATATTTGAAAAGTTAAAAAAAATTGATTAAAATAAAAAAAACTAATAAAATAAATGAAAATCTATTTAAAAATAATTTGTGAAAATGTAAACCAAGGATGACACGTGGTCAAAGTAGCCTCCACAGGGAAAGTAGCAAAGTTAGAAGTGAAAGATGAAACGTGGTCGAAGTAGCCTCCACAGGAAGGTAGCCCACACTCACTCAAATCCATGCGCGTGGACTTGTACGATCACCCAAGTTGAGTCCATTTTTATTTATTTTTTTCTTTTCTTCTTTTTTTAATTACATAACATTACAAACCTTTCTCTTTCTTTCTCTCTCTCAATCTCTCATCACTCGTCACTCATCACTCATAACTCATCATCAGTGTTTTCTGTGTGCTCTGTATCGACGAGATAAAGCTTTCATTCTCTCATCACTCATCATCAGCGTTTTCTGTGTGCTCTGTATCGACGAGATAAAAGAAAGAAAGAAACAAAAGAGTTTGAGAAACTGAACACACTTCGCGTACGCGTCCTTTCCTTATCCCAAAACCCTAACTTTATCTCTCTACTTTCTCTCTCCGATTCCTCCCAATTTATCTCTATATATGTGTGTGTATATATAGATAGATCTTCCAGAGGGTAATGGATGAGAACGACAGAGTCGATCCAGGAATTACAGATTTATCGGCAGAGTCGAGCTGGTCGTTCGGCGGTGACTCGGAGAGCGTTTACTTGTTCGGAGGTAGCGACAGAGAGAGCAGCATACTCAGCGAATTCGGCTGGAATCTCCGGCCAGAGGCAGGTAGTTTTTCTCACTTTGATCGGATCGGTATGGAGGAGGATTTGGCCGGAAATGATCAGCCGAAAAGTACTTGTTCTACATCTACCACTGGTGGTGGTGGGACGGTGGTTCAAGCGACGTCGAATCGGTCGATGTCTTCGAGCTCCTCCGAGGATCTGCCGGAGAAGTCGACGGAGTCCGACGGGAACAAAGCAGCGCCCGAGACAGCGTGAGTGTGTGTGTCTTTAGCGTTGTTGCGTTTGTGGTTTGGTGTTGCGTGAAGACTACTCCATTCCGTTCCGTCACCACGGCTAGTATCGTAATAAATCCGGCATTTCTTGGGCTAATTCACCGGCTCTTTCTTACTCCATCCAAAAAATCACCCTAAATTTTAGCTAAATTTATTGTTAAACAATGCCATCTCCGTGTCCGTACTGATTTTTTTTCTCTCTCTCTCTCTCTAGAAGGTGTGGGGGCCCAGAGAGCAAATTCAGCAAAATAAGGGGGTAGAGGAGGGATGAATCCCGCCGTTATTGCGGCGGATATGGTGTGCTGTATTTTTTTTTTTTTTTTGAATGCTAAACATACTTTTGAAAATCACATAAACTGATAGTTGTTGCATTTGTTACATGAGTGAGAGAAAAGGAGAAAAGGAAAAAAGTTAGAGTATATGTAAAATCTAACTTTTTTCTCTCTTAAATTCAATTCTAGATGAAATACTTTTTTGAGCATATCTACATTAGATTTCTTTTCGTGCATTTACATCTTCCTCGTGATTTTTTGTCTGTAATAAAAATCTACTAAAAATTGAAGTTAATGATATATACTTTTCTTAAAGCTGTTTGGTGGTATGTTTGTTGTTAGGTTTCTTCATCATTTCATGCTCCTTAACTTGAAATGGTTCTTTTTTATGTTTGTCAGTTCTCTTTTAATTTGTTTTTTCTTGAGTTGTTTCTGGATGTGGTGAATGTTTTCAAAAACCATGTAAGGGCTAAGTAGTGAACAAGTCCTCCTCCCAATTAGAGTATTTTATGCCATCTCTCTCTCTCTCTCTCTCTCTCTCTCTCTCTCTCTAGCTAATAGAGAGATTGTGTTTACTTACAAAAGGAAAATGGAGGCATTAATTTGAAAAGAAATCCTGTCATGAGTAACAAATAGCTATCCCAAATGCTGTGCAGGTTTTGTCAGTGAAGTGTTGATTCATCTAATCAGATCCTTTATCACTCCCCATTGGCCTTGAGCTATTTTCAGTCTGCACCACTTGCACCACTCACTCACAGGAGGACTTGTATAAAATTTTGTCTGATTTTTTGTAGTTTGTTTGTTATGATTAATAATTGATTTCCCTCTTTGAGTATTTAATTTATGTTTTTGGTTCTTTTTCTCTAGTTGTCAGACCTGAGTGGAAATTTTATATTCTTCACTTCTTTGGGGATATAATAGCTGAGTTATTTATATTCTTCACTTCTTTGGAGATATGATAGTTGAGTTAAAATGTCTTTCTATTGAGCTTTCCTTAGCTTTTGGTTTAGGTAGTGTATGGTTTTACTGTAATGATTGTAAACAGAAATGAATTGGCCAGTTTTTGACCTTCATATGGATTGTTCATTCTTCTAAATTGAATGATAATTCTATGGGGGAATTACTTGAGAGTTGGAGAAAAAATTTCAAATATACGGGGTACAAGTGTGTCTATGGTGATCTGTAAATAAAAGGCTGTGAGAGTACAAGTGTCACTTGTACCCTGTATCCCTATATATGTTAGTAATTTTTTTTCCTAACTCCCACCTACATGTAATTTTCCCTAATTATATTTTCAATGTAAGTTCATTTTCTTTCTATGGAATCAAACATGAAAATAGATATTCTAACAAATTGCCATTTTATGCCAATGGCCTTGTGGGCTAGTGGCATGGGTGCAACACTTAAAGTGCTTGCATGGGTGAGGCTGGGTTCAACTATCAACTAAGTTTCAATGATCAAACCCCCCAAAAAAAAAAAAAAGGCCATTTTATTCCAACTTTATTTAACTCAACCAAAAATTGTATTGGCTAAAGTTTATGTATGTAGCTTAATCCTCTTGTGCCCTTACTTTCCTGCAATATGAGTGACAAATATTCCATTCTAACAACATTTTTTAAGCAATTTCTTTCTTGTTGTTATCCTTTTGTTTTGTTTTCTATAATTCTCAAAGTCTTTCTTTGTTTCTTTGACTTTTGTTTTTGTTTTTTTTTTTTCTTTTTTCTTTTTCTTCCCGAGTTGTTGTTCACCACAACCCTAAAATGAATGTTAATTGAATACTCTGACAAGTATTACAAACACTTATTCATTTATTACTAAGGCACTAGATTGTCTTGCATGAATCCACTGGATTGTCTTGCTTGAATACATGCAGATTTGTTTTTCTTTTGATTAAATGCGCTCCTATTCATAATTTAGGACTTGCTTTGACTATGTTTTTTCAGTCTTTTTCAGAAATTTGCTTTGACATTGATGACCTTGGACTAAAATAATTTATAGGAGCAAAGTAAAAAAGAAGGGGCAAAAGAGAATCCAACAGCCACGTTTTGCATTCATGACTAGGAGCGAAGTTGATCATCTTGAAGATGGTTATCGATGGCGGAAATATGGCCAGAAAGCAGTTAAAAATAGTCCATTTCCTAGGTATGTGTTCACTTCTCTCTAAGGATTACACTTGTCAAGATCGATTTTTTCATTTTTAAGTTGACATCATTTCCCGTATAATATTGGTTTGTTTTAGAGCAAAATATTGTCAAATATATTACCGTCACATGTCTCTATGTCTGTGTAAGGGATTTAGATATCTGTCTATCCCTATTGTTATTTTATTAAGGACTAGATACGAGGCGAGTTGAGTTTGAATATGTATGAAATTTTTTATACTTTCATGTACTGCAATTTCTTAAAGCATAGCAAAAATTAATATCTCTTATTAATTTTGTTTTGGATTTTTTTTTTAATTTTAAAATTATTAATATCCTTGCATTCAATATCTGACCCATTTTACCATAGCATGCTCTTATTTCGGATGGTTTAATTTTTACACTGATTTTTTAGTCTGACCGACAGGTACCTCTCAAAGTTTACGAGTGTGTATTTATATGATATTCTGAAATATTTTGCTTAAGCAAGTTGCACCAAATACCATTTATTGGTGTTGGACTCTTTTTTCTTAAAACGCAAAATTCAAGGATACAAATCACTGTTTACCTTTCTATACATATAGCAGAGTGGCAAAAAATGATATAAGTGATGGAGATTCAAGAATCTGAAACATCAAACAAGTATTATGTAGTGGAAGTGAATTCTCAGTCCCCTGAAGATGTTTCTGGCATAAATGATGGTTAGTTAGATTGAAATCACAAGAAAAAGAAGACTAATACTAATTGATCGCATTCCTTAATGCATTTTGCAGGAGCTATTATCGGTGTACAAACAGCAAATGCACAGTGAAGAAAAGGGTTGAACGCTCTTCGGATGATCCAACTATTGTAATCACTACATACGAAGGCCAGCATTGTCACCATACAGTTGGATTCCCCAGAGGTGGAGGTGGAGGTGGTGGACTCGTCAATCATGAAGCTGCCTTCGCAAGCCAATTGACTCCTTCAGCTTCACATTTTTATTATTCAGGACTAGGAGGACTCCAATTTCCTCCACAACCTCCTCCTCTCGGTATTTTACCACAATCATCATCTCATCAAGTTCCAGGTGAAGCAAGAGAAAATCCTAAGCTTCCCACTGATGAAGGACTTCTCGGTGACATTGTACCTCCTGGAATGCGCAATCAATGACAGCAAGTTGTTGGTATGCACTAAACTAATTCACCACAGCTCCTCTTATTTTCGGAGGAGGATCCCCTACAGTTTTTGGATTGGAGGGTATTGTTGTGACCCATAGGATTTACGGATCCCGTTTTGATAATTCAAATCATTCATTTTGTCAGGTATTTCATATATTTCATTCACAAAAAGCTTGGATAGATCTGAAAACTGTAAGTAGTTCAATTTATTATGTTTGTCATCAAATAAATGTATAATTTAATTTTTTTTGTCCTTTTTTTTTTTTAAATCTAGAAAATTGAACTAGTTATAGTGTCATCAAATCGACATAATTTTTTTTGTGTATAAAATACACGAAATACCTGACAAAATAAATGATTTGAATCACCAAAACGGGATCCATGATAAACCCTATAAGTCGGAACATCGCCTCCTCCTGTCTAGATTTTGGACTGGAGGGATCCTCCTCTCTTATTTTGATCTTCTATTCACTTTCCTTTTAGGGGTTTTCTTAATAAAAGCTATTTTACACAAGAATCATTTGATATTCAACATAGAAACTTAGGTCTTAAACAGATGATTTATTAATGAAAATATTAAAGAGTTGTGTTTTTTAAAAGAAGCTGACAGTAGCCGCAGAAAAGTTACAAATCCTAAAGGTAAATTGCACTTTATCCTCCTAAAGTTTGATTCATTTTCTATTTTAATTTTTAAGTTTAAATTTTTTTTATTTTTTTATTTTGGCTATTCATATTTACAATCTTTTTCACTTTTACCTTTTATATTTACAATCTTTCCTATTTTGACTCTTTAAGTTTGATTTTTTGTACGTTAACTCTTCATGTTTGCAATCATTCTCACTTTAGCCCTTCATGTTTTGCAACCCTTATCACTTTATTCCTAAACTAATTTCCATAAAAAAAAAAATAACAAAATCTGTCATATCATCAACACATCAGCTTTATATGTGATGTAAAAAATTCACTAAAGATGTAAAAAAATAAAAATTAAAAACAAAAACATTGAAATTTTTTTTGTCTTCAGTGAATTTTTTTCAAATTTATTGATAAACATTATTGCATTATAGATGCATCAAGCTCAGATGCACTTAAAAAAATAAAAACAAATTTAATTAAAAAAAAAGTTCACTAAAGATGAAAAAAAAAACGATAGTAAACTTTTCATTTTAGAATGGACAATACAGATGTTTGACTTATTATATTTTTATTTTTTTCGTTTTTAGTAAACTTTTTTCTTTTTTTAATTAATTTGTTTTTATTTTTTTAGGTGCTTCTAAGCTAGATGCATTTATAATGTAATAATATTTATGAATAAATTTGAAAAAAAAATGTTCACTAAAAACTAGGCTCTGTTTGGTAGAGCTTTGAAACGTTAGTTCCAGGTTTTGATTTGCACATCGTGTTTGTTTAAAGTTTTCAAAAATTAATTCCACTCACTTTTGAAAACTCTGTTGAAGACGAAAAAATTTGGATTAACTGCTCATTCGGCCGGTTGACTGGCACAGTGTTTTAGTATTATTATTAGTTTTTATTTTTTTTTTATTTTTTGCAATTGACACATGTTACTTGTTTTATATTCAATAAAAAATATTTTTCGAATTAAATATTTCTTTATGAGTTTTGAATAGAATTTTGAGTTGTGTGTTTGGTTATGAGTTGTTAATTTTTGTATCAAATATCATATGTCACATCAAAAACTCCCTACTCAATTCAAAATTCTTTTCAAAACTCATATACCAAACAAATTTTCCATAATCAAATCATAATTTCAAAACTCATAAATTCAAAATACAATTCTATTCTCAAATCATATTTAGAAAACTCTACCAAACGCAATCTAAATTTTTATTTATTATTTTTTTGTTTTTTATTTTTTATTTTTTTGCATCTTCAGTGAATTTTTTGCATCACACATGGAGCTGATGTGTTGGTGATATGGCAGATTCTGTTAGTTTTGGGGATAAAAGTTAGTCTAAGAGTAAAGTGAGAAAAATTGTAAACATGAAAGGCTAAAGTAGGAATGATTGCAAATATGAAGAGTCAAAGTGAGTAAAATTAAGCTTAAAGGGCCAAAGTGAGAAGGATTGTAAACAAGAAAGGATAAAATGAGAAAAATCAAATTTAAAAGGCCAAAATAAAAAATGAGTGAAACTTTAGAGGAACAAAGTGTAATTTACCCAATCCTAAATTATAGTCTAAATTTGGGTATGAAACACCTGAAATCAACAAGAAAGCAATAGATTTCCCTGTACTGCATTTGGGTTCACGCGGTCGTTCCTCCTTCAACTTCCACTATTATGACATGCAGCGATTATACTATTTATTGTTTATTTATTTGTTTTATAAGCAAAGGAAAGAGATTATATTGATAAAGAAGAAATATAAAATGAAGATTTGATGCAATTGCATTATAGTTAAAAAATAATATCCCAACTAAATTGGTATCTATTAAAAATCCAATCATATCAGCAATTATACTAATAATGTTGTTTTTTCTTTATATAATTTTTCCAAACAAAAAACATCATATGTACTAGGGCGCCTTGAGATTTCTTAAGATACGGATTACCCAATAGTTTCAAAAATTACAAATATTTCATTGTCAGAATTTTTTATTCAACATAATTAACTAAAAAATAAAATTTCTAAATATTTTGTTATACAATGATAAAAATACCTGAATTATAAACTGAAATAAATTTCTTGTATCATTAAAAAATGTTACTTTTTTTTTTATCAGCAAAAAGAAACTTTATTGATGAAGAAAGCAATATACATGCGAAAAACTTACATCAATAAAGAAGAAAAGTGCAAATAGCATCATAACTAACCTTACCAATTTCAACTAGGCTGGTACCAATAACGTAGCACAATCATTTGCTAGCACTTAAAAAATGTTACTTGATTTAATTATTTATTAATAAAAGGGGTCATTTCTTATAAAATCAAAAATTTCAAGAGATGTGATGTAATTTCTAAAACTACGGAAGCAAATATCAAAAAGTGTATTTGTAATTTACATAAATACTATCTCTCTTGTACTGGGATTTCAGGATTTCATATTGTAGACCACAGTCTAAAGGCTCAAATATTAGCCCCTTTGACAAATTAAGAAGAAGCCCACTAGCGTGCGTGAATGTTTTTTTTAATTATTTTTTGTCTTTTAATATTATTGTTTAAGTTCAAAAATTAGATTCACTTTTTAAACTCAATAATGCAGTACTCTATTAAAATATTTAAGTCAATTCTCTCTCTTATTTATTTTTCAATTATCAATCAATTATTTCATTGATAAATCATTAGATCTAGAAAGCTAGTTTGTATATTATTATTAATATTTTTTTAAGGGTTTTACTAGCTGCCTGTAGTGTACTACTTCAAGACAAGTTATGAGAGCGCCACTCTGACCCATTTTGAACTTGGTAATAAGTATACAGATTTGGTATGCCATTATCTTAAATTTGATATTTACGCATTGTGTTCTTGGTTCCTCGTGGTCCTGCATTATGATTATTATAAACAAAAAAAAGTGTAGTTCTCATTGGTTGTGAACTTTTTGTTTTTTTTTGGATAGGCATAAAAAAACTTTATTGATTACTTCAATATAAAACAAAGATGAAATCAATAAAGAAGATGTGATGTAAGGATCATCATAGCTCTCAAACTAATCCCAACTAAGTTGGCACCCACAATCAAAAAAGCTAGCATACACCAAGTTGGTAACGAACCAACAAGCAGAGAGAGGACAAAGAAAAGGGAAAAAAAAAACACAAGGAAAAAGACAAAACAATCCAGCTGCATTTTAGTTCCAAATTTACTGTTAGACTAGTACTACTTATTTGCTTGCTTTGTCATGCTTGCTAGTATTTATAATGGCTTTTGTAGGGTTGGGTGCACTTGGAAGTAGCTTCAATAAAATAATGATCCCTAATGGCCAGTAGAATATTTTAGGGGAAATTGCAATTCATTGTATTTTTGTTTTTTGTTTTGTTTTGTTTTTTTTTTTTTATAATCAAATTTCAGGTCAAGGTAAATTTTCAGATCAGTGGACATGTAGTGTGAATTACATGGAACATCTGGAGCTCCTGTTTTAGATGTATGCTAATTAATAGAGACAAGAATGCTAAAATGACCCCCTTTTTTTAATCATAATTCGTATACCAACTAATGTGTCAATATTTAATACGTCACCACTAGTGCATGAAAGGGGGGAAAAAAAATTTGATAATTATAGCATTGTTGTAATAGAAAAGTCCACTTTTACAAAATTTATGATTGCAATGATATGGGATATATTTGAAAATTTAACTCACTTTGTTGGATTAAAATAAGAGACTCATTATAATAAGAGAAACACCAGTCAAATGAGCTCTTTGCTGCTGAGGCTTTCTTCTAGGTGTTGATCTGTTGCTCTCCCTTGTGCTTTTTGGGTTGGTGTCTTACCAACTGCGAGTGGTGCTAGCTAATGCATGGTAATGCTTCTCGGTGCCAACCTAGTTGGAATCGGGTTGTCGTTTTATTGATGATTGTCAATGTATTTTGCTTGATCATTATCAATAAAATTTCTTTTTGGCTATTTCAACAAAAAAAAAAGGAAAAAAAAAAGAAAAAAAGAAAAAGAAAAAAGAGCTAGGTCTAATCTTTCCACAAAAGTTTAGAGCTGAAGTATATTTTGAAGTTCATTCAGAAGTCACTTTTCAATGAATTTGTTTCCTACCCTACCACACCATTTTTGGCGGGTTACTTTACTTGTGCCCTAAAAGATTAAAGTCTCTCTCTCTTTTTTCTTTTTGAATAATCAGGTGTCCGGACTAGTTACCCTTATACTAGTTTTGTAATATCTGTTTGGCTTAGAGTCAATTTGAGAGTATCATGAGTGGAATTGTCATTCATCAGATTATATTTTCCACATTCAATGTTAATGGCTGAAATTGAAAGGGACTTTTCATCACCATTTAGTAGAGTAATATTCATATTGTCATCATGAAAGATGGTTCTCTTGATTACCAGTGAGTATTATTACATGCATGAGGCTATGTTTGGGTTTTGAATATGATACGATAGGATATGAAGGAGCATAACGTATCTCCATCATTTTTGAGATACTTGAAAGAAAAAAAGTAACAAAGAAAAGCATATTTTCGCACTCAGCACACACTTTTGAGGTGACCATCCTCCTCTCCTCACCACCAATTTTCGAAAGAGAAAAATATTTGTAATCTTGCATTATGCTTTGCTTTGCATTTCAATGAATATTATCTCTCGTGCATAACATTCAGACCTGATTGAATAAAGCATGCCCTTTAGGTGTAGGTCCACCATTTATCACGCCTTTGATTGTAACTTATGCTAAGCTATATATACCCTATATATCTTTCCTATTATTCTCTCTTTAGTCACTATCCTACCAACAATGTTTCATATATATATATATAAACAAAATATATGAATTTAAAATATGGGATTCGATTCATTTTCAATATAACCTACACTATAATAAATTTAAATTTATATCCATAAATGATGGATATAGAAATGAGATACGGATATAACATAATACATATATGCTTATATAAACAAATTGCCTCTTTGCTTTGTTTTGTTCTGTGGGTTCTTTGCTTTGGATTGGTCCCTCACCAATGCCCTTGCATTGCCCTGCCTTGTTGATGTTTTTGCATGTTTTATGCTTTTTCTCATCAATAAAGCTTTTATTTTGCTGATCAAAAAAAAATAAAGCATGCCCTTTAGGTGTAGGTCCACCATTTATCACGCCTTTGATTGTAACTTATGCTAAGCTATATATGCCCTATATATCTTTCCTATTATTCTCTCTTTAGTCACTATCCTACCAACAATGTTTCATATATATATATATAAACAAAATATATGAATTTAAAATATGGGATTCGATTCATTTTCAATATAACCTACACTATAATAAATTTAAATTTATATCCATAAATGATGGATATAGAAATGAGATACGGATATAACATAATGCATATATGCTGATATAAACAAATTTCAAAAAATATTATACAAGTATGGTTAGAATACATTAAAAAATAGTAATTTTTAGTATTATATTATACATGAATTCAAAGAATGTTGATCAAGTGTTTTTTAATAATTAAACATTAATCTAAGAAAATAGTCAATTTTTTTCTAATGAATAGGTTAATTTGACAAAATTTGAAAAAAATAAATAAACATATTTGAGAATGATTTTTTATTTTTTTTTATAAAAAGATGTGTAAAAATTATAATGAAGAAAAATAAAATTTTGATTTTTTTTCGTATAAGCTGAAAGTTTGTTGACTTTTTATGTAGGCTAAAATGGTGAGTTCTCAAATGGCCCAAGTGGGATAACATTTCAATTTTGGTTTTTGTTGGACAATTGAAATTTACATATGTACATGCCATGCAGGAGTGAAGCAGACGACTTCCTGTAAACACTATTGTTGTGTGGACTGGAGAAGCTAAAACATGACCACAGGGCTACAGCTGCTATTTTTGACCCGGATGTGAGTCAGTTTTTTAACCTGTGAGGGTGAAACCCTTTTCCTTCATATCAGTCAGTTCAAGTGGCGTGTAAGTACACTAATGTGAGCTACTCACATCATGTGTCTCAATATTCTTGCATTGAACTTACATTTATTTTATCTCCACTATAAAACCATGTCATATTAATTATGAACCTTATTTATATACATATATATATACATAAGGTATATTGACCTATCTTCTCTTTTATCTTTGATCCATTTTCTCTATTCTAATATATGTCATCAACTGTTTAGACCCAAGAAGAATCAGATTTAGGGCATGTTTATTGTAGTTTATTTTAAGTGGAAAACCGATGATATATTAATAATCTAAATATACTTCTTACTCAGTTTAAAAATAATTAGATTTTTAACAACTAATTTAAACTATATCTATAGTATAGATGTAAGAGGGAGAAAAAAAAATACTGGGCTCTGCATGAGTGGGTAAGTAGATTTGCTTCAGGACTGAGGTGTTTGGTAGAGTTGTGAAAAAATGATTATAATTTATAGCCTAACAGCTTATAACTTATAGCTGTGAACATAAGCTGATTTTTTATTTATAAATTAAGCTTCTCCTCCTCCACTCAAAGAATAAGTTGATTTTTGACTTATAAAAAGTTATAAGCTGTATTGTTAAGCTGAATCAAACACATCAAAATAGTTTAAATTAAGCTAAAAGCTGAAATAAGCTGAAAATAAGTCCTACCAAACAGAGCCTAAGGCCCATTTTGGCAACTTTTGGTTTTTTTCATTTTTAAAATTTTTTTTTGGCTTTTTTAGGTTATATTACTTTTTATTATTTTTTTCACGTTTTTTAAAAAAAAATAAAAAATAAAAAATCAACTTTTAACCTATTTTTCAAAACTACCCCTCAATTACACAAATGTAAATTATTTCAGGGTTTGGGTTTTTGAGTTTTTGAGTATTTTTGGTCTCATATTGATACTTTTTATAATTTATTTTGAATTTCTCTTTCACTGATAGATATTGAATCACATAAATATATGACTTTAAGAGATTGATCTGGTTGTCAAGGTCTTAGCCTGATGGTATAGCCTAGCACGTGCTTCCTTCAAAATCTCATATTGAAAACTTTTTAAGTAAATACAATTTTTTAAGTGTAAACAATTTCTTCAAGCCAATTAAAAGGAATGTGCAGCAATTTGTACAATAAGAAGCAATTTTAAATTACTCATTCGGTCTCAAAATAATTGTTCATTTTGGAGAATCTAATTTTTTTTGGTAGTATAATTATTACACTTTAAAAAAATTAATTTTTCAAATTTATCATTTGATAGTATATTTTTTGGAGAATATTAATGTCATAATTGTACTTTTTATGTTATTAATAAATTTAAAAGAAAGGCAAAATAGGAAATTTATATTATTTTCGTATTTAATTTTTGAAAAGAAATTAATATTTTGGAATAATAAAAAATAAAATAAAAAAATAATATTTTAAGACAGAAGAAGTATTTGTTTTTGGCATCTAGAGTTCCTTTTGTTTTTGAGAAAATAACACTTTTGTTTTTGAGAAAATAACACTGTAGGGTAGATGATTGAAAAAATTTGTAAAGGGGAATGATAGAGAACTGTAAATGTAGAGCTCTAATTTGAGCTTTAATGATGTGTCAAAGTAAAAAAAAAAAAGCACAAATATCACATTAGGGTGGGACTCACCTTCCTATTAGAGCTATTAGAGCTCCTATATTAGAGCTCTAAAACATTTTTATTTTGTAAAATATGAGAGGTGCAACTCCAAAAATTGTACGAACACAACTTTAAATTATATTCCTTCAGATTTGTATAATTTTTTTTCTTTCTTTTCTATCTCATTGGGATACAATTCCCCTTTTGTTTTTCTTATCAGGGTTTCGTACACGAGAGAGTAAATTTTAGAGCCAGATACAGTGCACTGTTGCGTGTGCTTCGATATTGATTTGTTTCGATCTCAGCCCGACAGTGCTTTTTCCCTCCTTCCTTTTCACCCATTTTGTCAATATTCATTTTCTTTACTTCCTTATGAAGATACCACTATCAACCCAATTGCGGAATTATAGCTATTAGTCTAAGTTGTAAGAGTAACTCATTACTTTGTGCTATAATTTTAAGAGAATGTATTAAATGTAAATTTATAAATGAAATAAAATATTATTGTAAAAATATTGAATAATTTCTCTAATTTTTTTTTTTGATCAGCAAAGAAAAATTTCATTAACAACATGAAATTAAGAGTACAGGAAGATGAAGTGCATCGAGAGAGATTCGGAAAGTACAAACTACCCCTACTACTGCTACTCGCACCCAAACAACCAACCTCTCAGCCTCACAATTTTTTTTTAAAAGAAAAAAATAAAAAAAAAACAAACTAAAAACAGAGGCTAATAAAGGTTAAGCAGAACTTAACACTTCCCTTTCCTCCCCCCCAACTAACTGCCCCACTGAGAAACGCACCCACTGAGAATCTATTGCAACTTAATACACCCAAGGCCAATCTCTGAGCACCCATTGCAAGATCAGAACACTACAACCACCCAACCGATACACCCATGAAACAAAACTTCTACTCCGATCTAAACTCCACACACCCACTGCATAAGCTCCTCTGGTAACAACCCAAACACTGAAAAAGGATCCTCCTGATGCAGAACACCCACTCCACACACCCATTGCACACTGTTTTACATCTAAGTATTTCCATCTTTTAAAAATTTCTCCTTATCCTTAAGCTTCATCTCAATAATCTCAATAAGCTCCATTTCACATATTATGTAATAGCACCAATCTATTAATTTGATTTGTAAATATTAATTATTTTTTCAATTATAAAAGTTATAGAGATAAAAAAAAAGGAAAATTAAAAAGAAAAAACCCATTGTTTGAGACTTGTAACAAAATCTTGAATTTTTAATTTTTATCAATTTAAATCTTAAACTTTTGATTTGTTTTCAATTTGAACCATTCATTTATTTTCATTAAGTAAAATAGGTGAAAAATGGGTATTTTAGTCATTAAACACAATGAAAATAGTGTTCTAAATATTTTATATATACTAGATTAAGTGTAATGATTGAAATACTTTTTTTCCGTTCGTTTTATTTAATGAAAATAGATAATTAGTTTAAATTGACAAAATTAAAAATTAAAAATTTATTTTGTTATAAAGCTAAAACCTTGATTGATTTTTTTTTTTGTTGGTAATTGTCCATACAAAAAAATTATTTATATAAATTAAATTTATCAATAAAATACCTTAAAATGATAGTCTAATAAATTATATGGTAACAACTTTCACGTTTTTTAAAAAAAAATAAAAAATAAAAAATCAACTTTTAACCTATTTTTCAAAACTACCCCTCAATTACACAAATGTAAATTATTTCAGGGTTTGGGTTTTTGAGTTTTTGAGTATTTTTGGTCTCATATTGATACTTTTTATAATTTATATTGAATTTCTGTTTCACTGATAGATATTGAATCACATAAATATATGACTTTAAGAGATTGATCTGGTAGTCAAGGTCTTAGCCTGATGGTATAGCCTAGCATGTGCTTCCTTCAAAATCTCATATTGAAAACTTTTTAAGTAAATACAATTTTTTAAGTGTAAACAATTTCTTCAAGCCAATTAAAAGGAATGTGCAGCAATTTGTACAATAAGAAGCAATTTTAAATTACTCATTCGGTCTCAAAATAATTGTTCATTTTGGAGAATCTAATTTTTTTTGGTAGTATAATTATTACACTTTAAAAAAATTAATTTTTCAAATTTATCATTTGATAGTATATTTTTTGGAGAATATTAATGTCATAATTGTACTTTTTATGTTATTAATAAATTTAAAAGAAAGGCAAAATAGGAAATTTATATTATTTTCGTATTTAATTTTTGAAAAGAAATTAATATTTTGAAATAATAAAAAATAAAATAAAATAAATAATATTTTAAGACAGAAGAAGTATTTGTTTTTGGCATCGAGAGTTCCTTTTGTTTTTGAGAAAATAACACTGTAGGGTAGATGATTGAAAAATTTTGTAAAGGGAAATGATAAAAAAACTCTAAATATAGAGCTCTAATTTGAGCTCTAATGATGTGTCAAAGTAAAAAAAAAAAAAAAAAAAAAAAAAAAACAAGGCAAAAACATCACATCAAGATGGGACCCACCTTCCCATTAGAGCTATTAGAGCTCTCATATTAGAGCTCTAAAGCATTTTTGTTATTATTATTATGAAACCAACACTAATTTTTGCATCTTTGTCCCTCATAGCTGTCTAATACTTCATACAACAATGATTCATCCTCCAAGACCAAAACATCACATCATTAATGACGGGACCCACTGCCACCTAATTAGTGGGAGCACTAATTAGTGCTCCCAAACATTTTTCATTGATTTGTTTCGATCTCAGCCCGACAGTGCTTTTTCCCTCCTTCCTTTTCGCCCATTTTGTCAATATTCATTTTCTTTACTTCCTTCTGAAGATACCACTATCAACCCAATTGCGGAATTATAGCTATTAGTCTAAATTGTAAGAGTAACTCATTACTTTGTGCTATAATTTTAAGAGAATGTATTAAATGTAAATTTATAAATGAAATAAAATATTATTGTAAAAATATTGAATAATTTCTCTAATGAGATGGTTACTTTATCTGATTACTTTACCAAATACTATTGCGACAACAGGAATAGTAGCAAGGTGACTCTTAGGAGAGCTGACAAAATTTAAGAAACCCAATTAAACATGAGTATCGTGTAATGTTATTTCAAATTCATATAAGAATTATTTCGAAACTAACTTAATCTATTTATTTTTATATTATCGCATCGTGTCATTTTCAATTTGTATTCAATTAATGTGTCATGTAAATGTAGTTTCGCTCTTAAAAATTCCTAGTGTATAGCAAGATTAAAATGTTTTCCAAACCAAATTATTTCAATTTTCCTAGTGTATACATTATTTCAATTTTCTCTATGAAGAACAATAAAAATTTCTGATAGTCTTAAATATATAAATTTGAAGTATGTTAGAAGTAGAGTGAGCCGTTAAAGAAGATATGTCACATGCTACAAAATATATATACTAGTTGATCCTCTAAATAAAATGTTTATTCCAAATTTAGTTTGCTAAATATATTGAGCATATGAGTAGTTTACAGTTTTTTTTTTTTTTTATGTGCTGGCTTGAAAAAAAAAATTATGTAAAAAATTATTCTTAATTAGGCTGCCGTTGAATATATTTTATTTGGTTTGTGAAAAATAGATTGAAAGTGATTCAGACAAATTGACTGGTATGAACCCAAAATTAATATTGTAATTTAGAAAGTTTTGAGCCCTGATCCATCTTAGTATATTTATTGGCAGTGTTTGGGAATCTTTTAGATATGCTATTTTAGCCTTAATTGCAAAAAAGCCTTTTAGCCCCAAATTGTTCTGCCTAACCCATTGATTTAAAAAAATAAAAAATAAAAAATAAAAATGGAAAAGCAGTGGCTGGCCAGCGGCACAGACACCTACACTATCACCAACACAGTGTAGGCTTCAGACAGTTAAATGACGATTTTACCCCTATTGATCAATTTTGGGAAAAATAAGGTTAGGGGGCAAATTTGTCATTTCAACCTTAAACATCATTTCAAACACATTTTTCAATACAACAATCAACCCAAAAATTTAACACAACTTCCCAAACACAAAAATTAAAATAGCCTACTAAAATAGCCAAAAAGCGAAAAAGTTTAAAAAAAAGCCACTTCCCAAACACCCCACATTATTTTATATGTGGGCATGTGATATAAATATGTAATGCGTGTTTTAAGTTATTTGGGTTCCTTAAATGGGATGGGCCTATGATTTCTTTTCTTTTCTTTTTTTTTTTTATTTTTTTATTTTTTTATTTTTTATGTAGGCTCACTCTTCTCTTCTATCCTATTAAGGTTTACATATATTTATATATAGTGATTGGGGTTGTTGCTACGCTGTTGTACACCTTATGCGCAGCAGCAACTATTGCACACCTTATAGGGCTCATTTTATGGCCTAATTCAATAATCTAAACCGTTCACATTTTAAAAAATATCAAACAGAATATATTTACAAAAAATCACGTCGATCAAATATCGTTATCTCTTTTATCAAATTACATTTGCATTGATTTTTATATTTCAAATTACATTTATCTTTTCTTTTAAAAAAAAATACAAATGTGATTTGATGAAAGGGCCAACGATATCCGATTGATGTGATATTTTACTGGTATATTCTATTTGATATCTTTTAAATATAAACGATTCAGATTGTCAAATTAGTCCCTAAAATGGGCCCAACAAGGTGTGCAACAGTTGATCTATCCGTGGTAGAGGAAAGTTGTCTTTTGGGCACGCCTTGTTGACTGTTTTATAGTCGACGCAGACGCGTCATTTGCCATTCTTCTTTGGTACTACGACCGTGTTGGAGATCCATTTTGGGTAGTGCACCTCTCTAATTGCTCCTGTTTCCAGCAGGTTACCTACTTCTTCCGCCACTATTTCGGCATGGTGAAGTGCCGATCTGCGAGTGCGCTGAATGACTGGCCTGGCGGATGGGTGGACATTGAGTTGGTGACAGATGAAGTTTGGATCAATGCCTGGCATGTCATAGGGTGTCCAGGCGAACACTTCGATGTTAGAGGTCAAGAATTCCAAGACCTCTAATCGCTCAGTGCTGGACAACGATGAACCGAGCAAAAAGAACTTATCCGGGTTCTTTTCATCTATTTTTACCTCTACCAAGTCCTCCACTGCTTTCTGATCCGTCGTTTTGCCGACATCTGCGAATAGCTCATTACTCTCAAGTTCTTCCACCGAATGAACGTATCCTTTGGCAGCGCGGCTGCCATTTATCGTGACGAAGCATTGCTTCGACATGATCTGATCTCCATAGACTTCTTCAATTACACCGGTGTCATTGGGAAACCGCATTACTTGGTGGTAGAATGACGCCACCGATCGCATGGCATGCAGCCATGTTCTGCCCAAGATGATGTTGTAAGTGGAGGGGACCTTCAATACCCAGAAC